ACAAAGAGCTTAAACAGCACTGGTCCCAGTACTGACCCCTGAGGGACACCACTGGTCACCTGCCTCCCTTTGGACATTGAGCCATTGACCCCAACTCTCTGGGTGTGCCCATCCAGCCAATCTCTTATCCACTGAGTGCTCCATCCATCCAATCCATGCCTTGTCAGTCTGGAGACCAGGATGGCATGTGGGGCAGTGTCAAAGGGCTTGCACAAATCCAGGTAGATGATGCCTGCTCCAGGTAGATGCTCTACCACCCTCCACCATCTCTGCAGCCTTGTTGTAGAAGGCCACCAGATTGGTCTGGCACGACTTGCCCTCAGTGAAGCCATGTTGGCTGTCACCAAGCACCTCTTTATTTTCCACGTGGCTTAGCAGTGACAGGTCAGCCCACTCTTGCTTGTGCCCTGAGCTCACTGCTGCCAACCCTCTCTCCAGCCACAAGTCCCAACAAGCCACCCTCACTCCAGTGCCCCTGGAGAAACTGGGATGGTCCAAGAGGCTGCAGGGATTTAGAACAGGGTGTCTGGGACAAGGATGGGAAGGAACCACTGTAGCTAGGGGCCAGTTTGGCCCAGAGGGGCACAGCAAGTGACCCCTGGCAGCACATCCCCCTGGGGATGCCTCATTCAGTGCCCACTCCTGAAATCCCACCTCCCTCACCTGCTTCCCCCAGCTCCTCTCCCTTGGCCTGGGATGCTGAGCTAGTCCAGCCAGCAGAGCTGTGGGCAGGCACAAAGCCCAGTCCCCCCCAGTTACTCCCAGTACCAACCCTGGAGCTGTGGCACTCCCCTCCCCCCCGTGATGGGACGGGGACAGCCATGATGCCCAAGCTCTTGGCTCCATCCTCACAGGGAGGACAGACAGCACCACCATACCAAGAGATGCCACCAGGTACATCCTCCAGCACCTGCAACCTGCCACCAAGTATGAGATCGGGCTGAGGAGCATCTGGGGCCGGGAGGACAGCGAGGTCACCTCCATCACTGTGCACACAGGTGGGAAACAGCTCCTGCTGGGCAGGAACAACCTCAAAGGGGGCCAAGTCCAGCCCCGGGCAGGGCTGGCAGCCCCTGCTTGCACCAGCACTCAGGCAGCAAGGTGGGTCTTCAGCCAGGCTGGTGCAAGCTGCAGAGGATGAGCGAGGCCCTCCAGGGCCCAGGGTGGGTTTTTGAAGTCTGTTTAAGCAAAGCTTTTCCCAGTTATGCATGGGTAGTTAATGGGGGGAGTGATAAATCTGTACTGGGCACAGGGAAGCCAGAGATAGGATGTTGGGCAACCATGACAACCTTTCCTAAAGGGAGTAGGCTTCCAGAAATAAACCCTGGGGAAGCCCTGACACAAACAACATCTGCTGCAAGAATAAAACCCTCTGCTATCCCCAGACTCCTCAAAACCTAAAATAAACCCCTAACACATCCCAGAATGCATCAGCAAAACAGTGGAGGAGCATCCAGATAGTGAAACAGCACAAGCTAGGATGTCTCTGCTCCCCAGATGGGGCAGCAGTAACTCCTCTGCTGGAAATGTCCCTGGGCAGGAAGGCAGGACCAAGAGTAGTGGGCCACAAGGAACCCTTCCAGTTCATAGACCAGCATGTGAACACCTCTGAATCTCTCCCACCTGTAGCTATGGATGCCCCCTTGGGGGTCACAGCCACCAACATCACCCCCACGGAGGCATTGCTGCAGTGGAACCCCCCACTGTCAGAGGTGGAGAGCTACATCCTCATCCTCACCCACCACACAGGTATGCTGGGGCCCTGGTTCAGCCCTGCTCCTCTTGTGCAGATCCCATGGCACGTGTCCCTCCCCAGGCCTCAGAGCCTGGCAGTCCACACAGGAGGGGGCTTGGGGTCCTGTCACTTTACTAATGGCTCAGCAGCAGCAGCCCAGGGGCAAGCAAGTACCCACCCACTGAAACCTGGTGTGCAGCCAACTCCAGGAAACCCACCACTGTGGGGACAAAAAGCATTGGGCAACAATAGGGATTGTGGGGAAAATCAGATCATCCTTCTGACCAAACACCACCCCTACAGCTCAGCTGCTGCACAGCAGCTCATGGTGTTCCAGCAGTGTAAGTGCTTTTGTCACACCCATAAGGACCACCTCGAACATCTTCCCCTAAGCTTCTTGGCTTCCAGTTGCAGGAGAAACAATTGTTGTGGATGGAGTCAACCAGGAGTACCAGCTGACCAACCTACTGCCCAGTACTGCCTACACAGTCTCCATGTATGCCACCCATGGGCCCATCACCAGCCAGACCATCAGCACCAACTTCACAACCCGTACGTACTGTCACTTCCCCCACTGCCTGTCACCCCCCCACACACCCCTTGGCCACGTGTCCACCCCAGGAAAAGCAGCCAGCAAGGCTGAGCCAAAGCTCTTGTCACATACCTCTGGGTGTAGAAGTTGCCAAAAGGACACCCAACTATCAGTGTTGGGCACCACACAAGAAGAGAACTCGAATCACAAGAAGCATCAACCATCATGGTTGATGATGATGATGATGATGATCATGATGGTTCTTTCAACATCCATCCACACCTTTCTTTGATTTCCCCCGTGTGTGGTTCCCCAAGAAGACCCCTGACCAGGTCTTTTCCTTGCCCAAGGCCATATTCCAGGAGAGCATTAGAACCCATTTTGCTTACAAGAAGCTCAACAGGCCCCACAGCACATGTATTTTGGAGCTGTTGCCTTCCAGAGAGCAAGCAGGTAGAGGAGGACACTTGGAGGGTTTGCAGATCTCCTTTCAAGGCTGGGGATGGGTGATGAGCTCTGCAGTCTGAAGGCAAGGAAGTACTTAGGGCTGCAGCTCAGGGGTGAGAGGCTGAAAGCAGGGTTGGAAAGCAGGGTTTGGCTGGTCGTGTGGGAGCACTTGCACTCCCTTGGGTCCCTCTCCCCACCCATGCAGTTTTGGATCCTCCAACCAACCTGACGGCCAGCGAGGTGACCCGACGGAGCGCCCTGCTCTCCTGGCTGCCCCCCGTGGGGGACATTGAGAACTATGTCATGACCTACAGATCCACCGACGGCAGCCGCAAGGTGAGTGACTGAGAGGCTCGAGGAATAACTTGGCCCTGGAGAAATGAGCAGGAGAAACCCAACAAAGCAAAAGAACCATGTCCACTAGGTCAGGGGGAGACCAGGGGGGGGAAGATGCTGCTTTTTGCATGAGTGGTACCTCAGGTAAGCAATGAAAAAGGGCAGGAAGAGATTGACCAAGGCAAACGTTGGTGCCTTGACACCTGCAGGTCAGGGCATGCCTGGAAATTTGGGAGGAACCAGGAAAATTCACAGCTTGTGAAACACAGGCAAGCTGAGGCAGAAGGAAATCACCCTGTGAACAGAGATGCTAAAAATGCCAGTTGCCCTTCTTACCAAAAGGATGACAGGTACAGGCAGCTAGTTAATCCCACAAGACAATATATCTGATTGTTTCATGAGTGTGTCCATATCTGCCTGTCTGGAAGAGCTGCTACAAGTGCTACCAGAAGCACATCACCTCAGATAGTGCCAGGGTGACTGGCTGGCAGCAGCCAGGGGATACCAGCTTTGCAGAAGGGGTTCAATAGGATGTCACGTGGCCAAGGAGCAGAAAAACCAACGTGACAGGAGCTGCTGGAGTCAGAACTGGCTGATAAGCAGGTCTGGCCCAAGCTCTGCCCCCAGCACTGCTTGAGCAACGTGTCCTGCCCTGTGCCAAGGGCACACAGATCCCAACAGAGATGGTAAACAGAGCCCACAGGCTGCAAACACTGACCTCTCCAGTGTCCAAACCAACTCCTTTTCTCCCACACGGACCAGCCCAAAAGGCTGAATATACTCACTGACCTCACACTGAGTCCAGGGCTGTAAGAACCACGCCAGGCTCCTCCGCCAGGTGCCAAGGGCGGTGGTAGTTTGTGTCTCCCCTTCCCTCCTCGTTTGCTCTCCAGGCTCCCCAGCACCTTTCTTACCTGTTGCTCTTGGTGTCTGCCTCCTTCTGGGACCCATGTACAGGAGCTGATTGTGGATGCTGAGGACACATGGATCCGCCTGGAGGGGCTTTCTGAGACCACAGAGTACACGGTGCTCCTGCAGGCTGCCCAGGACGCCACGCGGAGCGGCTTCGTCTCCACCACCTTCACCACAGGTGAGGACTCTCCCTGCATCCCCTCCAGCCAGGCAGGGCTGAGCCCGTGGGCCGTGCTGGTGGGCACAGATTGGTTTTTTGGGCTTCCCCTCCTGGGGCTGCACTTCAGCACAAGCCACGTTGGTGGCCACGACCCGCGGCGCTGCTCGAGGACCCGTCATGCAAACACCAGACCCAGCCTAGGGGAATCTGAGCTTCAGACCAGGAACCATCTGCCAAAACCTTTGCCTTGCCCTTCTCCCTCCTCAAATGTATAAACAGAGAGAAAGAAACACCAAAGTCAACAATGTGTATCAACAGAAGGGGGTGAGGACAGACCCAGCTGGTCTCTGCACGCTGCAGACATGGTCCAACCTCTCACAATCATGGGATGGTTTGGGTTGGAAGGGACCTTTAAAGGTCATCTAGTCGAGCTCTCCTGGAACGAGGAGGGACATCCTTAACTAGATCAGGTTGCTCAGAGCCCCATCCAACCTGACTGAACGTTTCCAGGGATGGGGCAACTTTGGAAATATAAATCAGGTGCATCTCCACCACCATCTGTGGAGTCACTATCTAATTGCATGATTCCTCCCTCCTCTAACTCTAGAGAAGTCCCTAAGGCAAAGGTTTCCTTTCCAAATGAAGCAGTGGGAACCCACAGCACCTTCCCAGACAATGTTCTTATGCTTGCAAGAATGAAGCTTCCATGAAAACACCACCATGGCCCCCACTCTTTGCAACCACTCACAGTAGAAACTGTCCAAAAGGCATTGCCCCTCACCTTCTTTGAAAAGCCTCCTTAGGGCAGGGCATTGAGCAGACAGAGCACATGTTGTTCAGGGCTGAATTCAATTACTTTTCTCCTGGGCTTCAAAAGTGCTAAGAAGCCCAAAGATGATGTCTGCCAAAATTCCTCCCACCCATCCTGCTGTGGATCCACTTCCCCATCCCAGTTACATGCAAAGGTCTATTGTCTCTTAAAATCAGGTGAAGAGAAACTATTTAAATCATAAAAAAAAAAAAGAGGAGACTTCTCTAATGCATCTGCAGATCAGGCTTTCCTGTTATTCTCACCTCTTATGCAGAAACATAGGACCAGCAAAATTCAGGCAGGTGATGGAAAAGAGGCTGTTCAGGAGTCTGGGATGGAACTGCAAGGGGCCAGCTGTTTTCCTGGGATGGAACTGCAAGGGGCCAGCTATTTTCCTGGGATAAAGCAGCAGAAACCTACCCACATCAGGCCAAGAGAGCACCCTTTTCCATTCAACACAAATGCCAGCCCTCGGTGGTGTCAGAGGCATCACTGCCAGATGATGCAGCATCCAAGCACAGGTTTAATTTGCTTTTGAAGTGAGGAGAGACATCAGCAAGTAACCAGGTTGTCCCTCACTTACCCCATGTACCAAGGAGACAGAAACAACCAGGAACAAACCTCAAGGCCATGCAACCCATGGGAAGCATCTCTAGAATCAAGGTCTGGGATTCAACTCACCCTGGGAGAGCACTTGTCTTTAAGGACACCAAACAAACAAACAACAAAAAAACCCCAAACCAACAACAACAAAACAACCATAAATCAAAGTGTTTTGCTTCCTTCTCCTCACAGGACACAGCACAAGGTTCTTCCCTTCCCTCTGATATATTAATATCTTGGCTGCTTTGTTTCATGTTTGCATGAGGTTCTCAGGGAATTGTCCACAGATGGAACAAAGGGAAGAAATAGATACAGTATTTAGAATTTATAGTGGTTTGAAATGTCTTTCAAGGTCTCCTTGGCTCTTAGAGAAATGAATATAAATTAAGAAACAAGTCATCTCTGCAGAGCTCAGGGGAGCCTGACGTGCTTGTCTTGGAAGCAGTTTTCAATGTTGGATGCTATGAAATGTGAACAGTCTCACCAGACTTTGTGCTACCAACCATGGAGACAGGAAAAAAAAGGGGGATCTTCCATATTTTGGCCTTATGGAGATTTACAGGACCATAGTATCACAGGATGATTTGGGTTGGAAGGGACCTGCATGGGCAGGGTCACACATGGTTGCTCCAAGCCCCATCCAGCCTGGCCTTGAACAGTCCAGGGAGGGGGCAGCCACAACTACAGGTGTTTGGGTTGCAACACTGGGGAAATACACCCAAGTTACAGGCAAGGGTCTCTACCCTGGTCCTGCAGGACATGACACAGCTGTGAGAGATGCTCACAGCACGTCCTTTGCACCTTCTCAGTGCATGACTGAGACAGCCTTGGAAGCCACATCCACATCCCCAGCTCTGCCCTCGTTTACCCTACCAGCCATACAACCAATGGCAAACAAAAAGATATAGTTCCCCTTTTGGCATTAAATTAGAAAAAAACCCTGAACCCAGAGTTGAGACCCCAACAGTGCTGAGATCTTGTCATTAAGACTCTCAACTTCTGACGCCCAAATGAGACATTTCTTCATTAGGGGGAGCACAGTCACAGTGCCCACCAGCCTGCAGCAAAAAATTCCTGCTCAGTGTGCCAGTGCCCATCCTCATTCCCAAGGTCAGGAGAATCTCCCTGGAAGCAGGAAAGTCATAGAACTTGTTTGGAGCTGGCAGCCCTGAGCAGACCACAGCTTTGGGTATTTTCACAGCTGTCTAAACAGGCTGGTGACAGCTTAAACCCCAGGGTTTCAGACACAGTGCAGGAAGGTGGTCCAAGAAGTGACATCCCTCATCATTCACAGTGATGTTCCCGTGCCCGTTTCCAAGACAGGACCTATGGGAGACTAATTAATATCTGCACACGTTTTTTTTTCCCCATCAAATCCTCTGATGTTGTAGGCAGATGTGAAGAACTACTGCCTTGCAGGGCAAGCTGGGACACGGAACCAAGTTAGACCTTTCCTGGATCACAACCTGGACACGCGGGAAGGGTTGAGCTTTGCTTACATGTTGCTCTGCTTTTTTTTTCCTTTTGAATTTCTCAGGCGGGCGTGTCTTTGCCAACCCTCAGGACTGTGCCCAGCACCTGATGAATGGAGACACCCTGAGTGGTGTCTACACCATCTCCATCAACGGGGACCTCAGCCAGAAGGTGCAGGTGTACTGTGACATGACCACAGACGGCGGCGGCTGGATCGTGAGTAGCTGAGCGGGTCAGCAGGGGAGTTGTCCCCATCACAAAGCAACCAGAGCCCCCTCTTCCCAGCAAACCAAGCACCAGGCTGCCCGGGAATGCTTCATCATTTCCCACACCATCAGGAACAGCCCCAGCAAAAGAGTAGTTACACTTGGATAAATGCCCTTTGATTCATTGGGCACGTTTGCAGGGCGTCTGGAGAGTGGGGTCTTGAGAGCAGAGCTGATTTACTGCTCTAGAAATTAAATGAATGGCTGGGAGCTTTCCCAGGGAATGATTCCTGCTGCCTGCAAGGGGAAGGTGTCAAGCATCACCCAGATGGAGTCCACACAGGAATGCTGGGGAGTCCAATGCCTGTTTGGCTTCTGAATTGCACAGCCACCCCTTGCCTTGACATAGATGGACTGACACTTGAAGTAAATAATGCTCTGGTGCTTTGATTTGATTCCTGTCAAGTGCACTACACAAAGCTCTGCTAGATGTATGGCCCAAACAAACAAACAAAAGGCTATCACAAATGCCAGTTTCTAGCATGGATGTTATCTTAGCCAGGAATTTTCCCTCCATCCAAGCACCTCTCAGCTACCACAGAAAGAGCCAGCTGAATGCAGAAACATAGGCTAGAAAACCAGAGGCACCATGCATCAGGTAGAGCAGAAAGCTTGAAGGGCAGTTCCTTCCTGTTACAACCCTGATTTGCCTCAGACATCACCTAACACCTCTTTAGCTTCTCCATCTGCACAGGAATTAATTGCACAGCTGTAATTAACTTTAACCAGATGGCTCTTGTCTTTTTCTCCCCCAAAAGGCACGATGGGAAGCCAAAGTTTTGTCTGCATTTCACGTACCCCAAAGCCCAAGTCTGTCTTCTTCTTCACACTCATCTTCTTCCTGGTCTTCCTCCACCTCAGGTCTTCCAGAGGAGACAGAACGGGCTGACTGATTTCTTCCGAAAATGGGCAGATTACCGGGTTGGCTTTGGGAACCTGGAGGATGAGTTCTGGCTGGGTAAGACCTTCACCAGTTGTCTTTCACCCACACGTCAAACCCAAGCTCCCCATACACTGTTGCTGCTCACACCCTCTCCTCTCTCCCTCAGAGACCTTTCCTTTCCATTGTTCACCCCCTGCACGTTAGGAAGTCCCTCATGGACACACCACCACAGAAAAGGCTGTTGTGAAGGCCAGCAGCTCCATCATTTGCTCCTCCTAGGAGAGAAGGGGGCACACTGGGGGTCCTTCATGGACCAAACCCCATCATCCCTCCTTTGGATGACTACAGGTTGCTTTGGAGGCATCTACAGCTCGTGGACCTCACCTGGCCTTAGCCAGAAAGCCCAAAGAGAGTAGGAAAGGGGGGAGTGGGAGACCCAGCACAGCTCTGAAACTGAGTGTGCTCCCCCAAAACCTGACCAGGAGCCAAGGCCAGCCCTGCAGCATGAACGTGCTCTGGCTTGTATGGAAGCTTCACAGCAACATGAGAAGCACCAGGGCTCCACAGCTGAGTGCCCCCCACTGGGCATGGGGAAAGCTGAACCTGCAGCCCTCAACCCACCTCTCCCAGCCAAGAGGAGGTGCAACCTGAGCCCAGACCCCACCAGTGCCAGCAGAGACAAAGGCTCCACCAGCAGTGCCGCCTGTTCCTCTCCTCACCCTCATTTCCCACCGCTGGTTTGATTTGCCCAAAGCTTTGTTTGTTTGCTGGCAGGGGGGGATGTGGGTCTCACGGGGTGTCCTGCTGTGTGTCCTGCCAGGCTTGGACAACATCCACAGGATCACGTCGCAGGGGCGCTACGAGCTGCGCGTCGACATGCGGGACGGGCAGGAGGCAGCCTACGCCTACTATGACAAGTTCTCTGTTGGGGACTCCAGGACCCTGTACAAGCTGAGAATCGGGGACTACAATGGCACTTCAGGTACAACCCCAGTGCTAGGGAGTCCCCCTGGGACCAGTGGGGGGGTCTGAAACCGTGATGGAGATCCCAACTAAAGGAGCGGCAAGACACAAACCCTTCCTGCCGCCCATCATGGAAACCAGGCTGGGACCGGTGGTGTTCAACATCTTCATCAACGACCTGGATGAGGGTATAGAATGTACCCTCAGCAGGTTTGCTGATGACACTAAGCTGGGAGGAGTGGCTGACACAGCAGAAGGCTGTGCTGCCATTCAGAGAGACTTAGATAGGTTGGAGAATTGGGCGGGGAGAAACCTGATGAAATTCAACAAGGGCAAGTATAGAGTTTTGCATTTGGAGAAGAACAACACCGTGTCCCAGTACAGGTTGGGGGCTGACCTGCTGGAGAGTAGTGTAGGTGAAAGGGACCTGGGGGTCCTGGTAGACAGGAGAATGACCATGAGCCAGCAATGTGCCCTTGTGGCCAAGAAGGCCAATGGATCCTGGGGTGCATTAGAAAGGGGGTGGTTAGTAGGTCAGAGAGGTTCTCCTGCCCCTCTGTTCTGCCCTGGTGAGGCCACATCTGGAATGTTGTGCCCAGTTCTGGGCCCCTCAGTTCCAGAAGGACAGGGAACTGCTGGAGAGAGCCCAGGGCAGAACTACAAAGATGATTAAGGGAGGGGAACATCTCCCTGCTGAGGAAAGGCTGAGGGAGCTGGGTCTGTTGGGCTTGGAGAAGAGGAGACTGAGGGGCCACCTCATCCCTGGTTACAGATCTGTTCAGGGCAGTGTCAGGAGGGCAGAGCCAGGCTTTGTGCAGGGATGTCCAGTGACAGGACAAGGGGCAGTGGGTGCAAACTGGAGCCCAGGAGGTTCCATGTGAATCTCAGGAAGAACTTGTTTGCTGTGAGAGTGCCAGAGCCCTGGGCCAGGCTGCCCAGAGAGGCTGTGGAGTCTCCTTCTCTGGAGACATTCCAACCCCCCTGGCCACGTTCCTGTGTGATGTGCTCTGGGTGCCCCTGCTCTGGCAGGGGGGCTGGGCTGGGGGAGCTTTCCAGGTCCCTTCCAACCCCTGAGATTCTGGGATTCTATGAAATCCCACCAAGGACAAGGGGGAATTTTCCACTAGGGATTAGATGTTGAGTATCAGAGGCACTGCTGTCCAAACAACCATGTCATTCAGCAGAGGTGTCATCTCACCTGGCAACCACCCCAGCTCGCACAGGAGGGCGTGTTGGTCGCCCTCCCCCAGCAGGGGAACAAGCTGCCATCCCTCTGCACCACTTCCTCAGGCAGAGCCCAAACACTGCCCACTTTCCCATGGACACCATCCCACCTTCTTGCTCAGCTGAGGCAGCAGCCCCAGGTTTTGTCCACCAGAAAACGGTGGCTGATGGATGCTGGAGGGAGGGGGTTTCCTCCCCAGGAAGCAGGAGCAGCCCCTCTAGCTGGGACAGACATGCCCAGTGACCCAAAGCCTCCATGGTCCATACCAAACTTCACTGCCACGTGCACAGTGAGGTACCCCATGCCATGCCTAAGGCACAGGAGGTGTTCCATACATTGGTCGCTGCAACTGGGAGATTAGAAGCAGGGATCTTGGTTGCCTGCCATGCAGCACTTGCTCTGGCCTTGAGCACCAAACCCCTCACCAAAATGATGCTGCAGGCACCACCCCCTCTCCTTTCCCACACTAGCCCTTCTTCTAACCATCCAACCCAGGAGTTTCTGCACCACTTTGAGCAAAGAAAGCCAAGACTCACCAAAGATTCACTGATGAGAGGTTTTCTAGCAAGCCTCTTGGTGGCTGGGGTGGACACAGCCCCAAAGATTTTCTCAGGGGCCACTAAGGAGCCTGTTAAGGTCTCCTGTAAGTACCTCACTCAATTGTAATAAGGAGCCTATTTTACTTTGGCTCTTCTTTCCCCCAAAAGCAGCTCTCTCGTGCCTTCGGAAGGAGGGGAGCTGAGGTTGGTGGGTTTGGTGGAATAAGACAACACGCATCTTCCAAAAGGGTCTTCCCTTTTTCCAAAGGGAGAACAGAAAGCCAAGCATCTTGGGTCAAGAGATGAATGCTTGGCTACCTCTGGGAGAAAAAGTTCCCTTTGGGTAGCAGGAGGGAAGGAGGCTGAAAGCATCCAAGAATCATTTTGTTTGGAAAAGACCTTTAAGATCATCAAGTCCAACCATTAACCCAGCCCTGCCAAGTCCCCCACTAAACCACATCCCTCAGCACACCATCCTGAAGTTCCATAGCAGGGTCAGGCTTCAGAAACCCAGATATGCCCAAATCTAGGATTCCATTCATTTCTGAAACACCAAAACTCAGATCCAAAACCATACACCATTTTATCTGCCAAACCCAGGCAAACTCTAAGGTTTGCTGTGGTCTGTACTGACCCTAAACCAACAGCAGAGGACCTCAGATGTGAGCAATTCCAGTTAACACCATTACCAGGCTCCCAGCTGCTTGAGCTACCACACAAACCACAATACCCTCATTTCCTTCTCAGAAGACCAAGTTGACAGGGGCCTCCCTCACCCCTCATGGCACCTCTTTCCACAGGGGACTCCCTCACCTACCACCAGGGCCGCCCCTTCTCCACCAAGGACAGGGACAACGACGTGGCTGTGACCAACTGTGCCATGTCCTACAAAGGGGCCTGGTGGTACAAGAACTGTCACCGCACCAACCTCAACGGGAAGTACGGGGAGTCCCGGCACAGCCAGGTAAGGGCAGAGCTGGCCTGGAAACCTCCAGCATTTCCTCCAGCAGTGGGAACAAGCATGGAAACAAAGCCTAAGGGAGGGCTGGGGCTGCGTGGTTGGTCCACCAAGGCCAGGAGCATCGCTGAGGTGGTCCAACACAAGCTGGAGCAAAGGGAACCACCTTCCAGGCTGGTGCTCTGTGCCTGGTTCCTGTGGTCATTGACCTCTTGTCAAGCTACATTTGAAAAAAAATACACAAAATTTGATCTGGAGCCTTTGAGAAAGGAAAACAATAAAAGACCCCATCAAGCCAGAGCTGCAGAACACTTTCTTGCTTCTGTACAGGAGCAAGGATCTACTTGCAGGATCTACTGTAGCAGGATCTACCTTCTGGCTTCTCTATGGTCATCAACCTTGATTCCTTCCCCCCTCCCCCTTCTAGTTTCTTGTTAGGGTCTTTCTTTACCCTGTCCCTTTCTCTCCCTCCTGCCAGGGGATTAACTGGTACCACTGGAAAGGCCACGAGTTCTCCATCCCCTTTGTGGAGATGAAGATGAGACCTTACAACCACCGCAACGTCTCCGGGAGGAAGCGACGGTCCCTCCAGCTCTGAGCCAGCTGAACCCCCTCCCACCTCCCACCACCCGACCTTTTCTGTCGTTTGTTTGTATTTTATAATATGAAAAGAGGGGGGGAAAAAAAAACCCCACCACCACCAACAAACCCACCAAGAATTACTGCTGGTCGGAGAGAGGAACCTGCCCCTCACCAGTGCTGGAGGGACCCGTGGTACAAGCAAAGGCTGTGGGAAAGGAAAGACCTCATTGCTTTGCAGCTGTCCCAGAGAAATACCAAATTTCCAGTCTCCCCACCCCAATACTCTGGCCCTTAACGTGAGGAGAAAGAGAGAGAAAGAAAGAGAGATTTTTTTGATATTTTTTTAAAAGACTTAGAAATCCCCAGCAAACCCTGTTAGAAAAGTTTGTCCCAGGGTTCCTGGAAAAAAAACAAACCTTCATGTGGCCATTTCCAGTCCAGTCATGGCCAGGAACACCCATCCTTTCCTTGCCTCCCTGTCCCCTCCTGGCAAGGAGGTCCCAAGCTTCATGCCATCCTGTAGGCACCAACTCCCCCAGCAGGCAGAGGGTCCATCTTTACTTTTGAACTGGCCATAGAACCATCATAGAATGGTTCAGATTGGAAGGGACCTTAAAGATCATCCAGTTCCAACCCCCCTGCCACACCTCCCACTAGACCAGGTTGCTCCAAGCCCCATGGAATCTGCACTTGAACACTTCCAAGGAGGGAGTGGTCATCCCTCCCCTATGCATTGTACACATGGAGACCAAGTCAGGATGAGCAAACACAAGGCTCAACCCATCCCCAACTTTCACAGCCACACCAGGAGGGCTTGGCAAATATCTGCATGTTGGCAAACTCAAGTCTGCAGCTCACATGTGGGTCCCACCACAGCCAAAGTCATCCTTGTGTACGTGGGGTGCAGGGGAACAAGAATTGCTCCACCAGCCCCAACCTGCATCATCCATCCCTCTGAGCTGACCTCATCCCATGGCAGGTGCATGATTGAGATTGATGGAGAAGACTGGAGTCCCAAAGCAAAGTCTTAGAGAAGGACCAGCAACCAGAAGAGCTGCCATACAACCACAACCCAGCCTGGGATGCCTCTTGTTCAGGAGCACAGGGAAGGATGACAACACAGCAAGGTGAGAAATGCCTGTTCCCTTCCTTCTGCTACACCATCCCTCTTCACCCCATCACAAGAGGAACACCAACCTCAGTGCCTTGGTGTCACTCACTCTCTAATGTGACACCAGCTGTTCCCCCCCCCCTGGAAGGAAGGCTGAGTCCATTCAGGTTTTGGAGCATCTCAAGACCCTTGAAAGAATAGATGAGTTTGCCCTTCCCATCCTTCTTCTACCTTAAGGAAGACAAACCCTTTGGATAGCTCTGGCTGGGCTCTCTGGGTCATTGACACCACCTCCATGTAGCTCAAACAACCACCAGGCTGGAGGCACTTCTGCCAAGGGCTCTGATCAATGCTGGGCATTGTCCCCTGGAGAAGGGACTCATGTAAGGACAATGCAGCTCATCGCTGGGTGCACAGCCAAGGGGGCCTCACCACCACTAAATGCTGCTTTTTGATTTGATCACACTGAAGAGGCTTTGTCTCAAGGAGCATCTTCCAGATGGCAGCATAAAAGGCAGCTTTGCAGCAGATCAGAATTCAGGGCAGTGTCTTCTTTCATGGTGATGCTCCTGGGGTTTCTGACGTTACCGACCACGGCTGCAGGGCTGAAGGAAGGCATTGAGCAGGACATGCAGCCTCCTGGTCCATGCCACGTGCTGGCACATGAAATCATAGCTAACCCCAAGGTCAGGATGAGGTCCAGGGTCCAGCCCTTCAAGTGGTCATCTTCCAGACTGCAGCCCAAGCTGTGGGAAGGATGTTGGAGCTCGGCAACGTCTCATCTGCAAACAAGGCACCTCTTCCTACTTCACATCAAGGTCTAATCAGGCAAGTCAATCAGCTGAGGAACAGGTTAGTCAGAGAGGCTGAGGATGATGGGATCTCTTGCAGGATGTGGCCAGTATCACAGATCATTAAATGGTTAAGAGCTGGCAGGAGCTTTTGAAGGTCATCCAGGCCAACCCCCCTGCAGTGAGCAGGAAACTCCTGAACTAGATCAGGTTGCTCAGAGTCCCTTTCACCCTGAGCTTGACTGACTCCAGGGATGGGGCATCTACCACCTCTCTGGGCAACCTGGGCCAGTGTTTCACCACCCTCATCGTAAAACCTACACCTAGTCTAAACCTCCCCTCATTTAGTTTCAACCCCTCACCCCTTGTCCTGTCCCTACAAGCCCCCAGGTGCCTGGGGACAGAAGGAACCAGCCACAGAGGGCAGCTTGTCACACCTCCTGAGCAGCCTCCCAAGTCTGAGGTCCCAGAGGCCAACAAGAAGCAGGAGATGAAACTGATCCAAAGCTAAGAAGCCTTCATAGGAGACCAGCAGAGGAACAGTTTTCCCAACCATCACAAGGAGTTTATAGGCAAGTGTCCCAACAAAAAGCACTGCAGTGGTGACACTTGGGAGCAGGGACTGGCAGGGGATGGAATTCCTGGAGTGACTCAGATGCTGCTTATCTACCCACATGAAAGGAAGAGGCCTTGGTGAAAACACAGGAGCTCATCACTCACAAGCAAGTGGGAGGCAAGAAGCTTCTGCTTTCAAAAGTACAACTCAAACAGAAAATCAGAAGGTGCCAAGCTTTTCCAGAAGGTTCAAAAGAAGATCCTCCAACAGGCTGATTCCTCTCTAAATAGATTTCCTGACGTAGATCTCTCCCTCCCTGCTCGTGTCTGTCATCCCTTTTGGAAGCCCTGTGAGCAGGATGAGAGGGCCCAGTTGACACAACTCCATCATCAAGTCTGAAGGACACCCTTGGAGATCATACCTGACCTTCCAGTGCTGGTCCCTGAGCTCACACACAGCACCAGGGTGTTGCCTTTCCCTTACCTCAGTGAAATGCAGTTGCTAAAATCTTCTAATGGAAAGATTTCTGCAGGTCATGGTTTTCTCCTGGTGACAACCTCACCCAAGCCTGGGCAAACCACCAGCAATGGCAACCTGGTCATTTGGGCCGTTGGCCCTTGTTCACATTGTCCCACTACAGATGCAGTTTTCCAGAAACCTACTTTCCATCATCACCTGATGAATTTTTTTTGGACAAAGCTCCTTGCCAGCAGCTCCAAGCAAATTGGTGCTCAACACTGATGCTACACAACAGCCAGGTGACTAAGTCTCTCTTTACCTTCCACAGCTGGTTGATCAAGCCCTTCTTCTGAATTTATTCTCCAACCACAGCAACTTTGTCCCTGTCCCCCACCAGCAGAGCCTTGAGACTGAATGAAGTCCTAGCAACAGGCCTGACATTCCCAGAAACCCAGCCCAGGTCCTGCACAATGCTCAGCTCAAGAGACCTTGGCTCCAGCATGTGAACCATCAGTGGGCTCTGCTGGCTCCTCTGTCATCCTGCTTGTATGGCCCAGGCTTGTCCCAGACCCCCAAAGGAACCTGAAGCTGTACCCAAACCCCACTATCCATTGCAAGATGTCAACTCCCATGACATCAAGCTGGGAGTGGCACATCAGGTCCTTCACCCAGCAGAGTGCCCAGGACCCCTGCAGCCTTTCAAAGCCACCTCTTCTTTCTAACCCCCAAATCCTGGAAGAAAACACCAAGGGACTTTCTCATCTCTTGCCCAATTTCCCTGTTTCCTCTCCCACCAGAGCTCCCAGCCCACCTTTCCCACCACCAGCTGCACTGAAATGTAACCAAAGAAAGGCCTGAAAGGAAAAGCTGCTTTTAGTAAGTGATCCTGAACAAAGGGTTTAGAAAAGAATAGTTTGAAGAAGGGAAGTGCCAGGCTCTCCCCACAGGGAGCTGGGGTTTGGCAGAAGGACACTGGAAGGTCCACAGAAAGGTTGGGGAGAAGTTAGCATTACTTGACCAGAGAACTAGCCCATGCCACTGCCACCTCCAGGCAGCAGTGCCACCATGCTGGGGTGGCCCTGGACCTACAACAGACAAGGACTGACCTGCCAAAGCCCAGCAGGAGCCAAAACCCCCACCCAGAGCATCACCTCTGTGCCAGCATGTGCCCTTCATCCACAGCCAGAGCCACCCTCCTGGTGTGTCCCCACCACACACCCCCAGTGACACCCACTACACTTGACCTTACAGACACTGCCAGCAAAGAGCTCTTGCCCCCCCCAAACCCTTTAATTCATGCTCACACCCACTAACCAAGGGCTCTGTCCTGGGGCCAAGTGAGAAGAAGCCCATCCCTACTTCTGCCAACAAAGCACCCTGTGATGGCCATCAAACCCAACCAAGCCCCTTGGGGATGACCCTCCAGGGTCACCTTCCCCTTTCCTTAAACCTGGTGGTACCCAGATGGTGGAGGCAGCTCTTTGCCCCTTCCAGGGGAGACTTTTGGGGCGAGGGGAAGAGAAAAGCTGATCCTTGGGGAGATGCTGATGCCCAACCCCACCTTGATCCCCAGCCTGCAGCTCTCCAGGTGTCAGTGGTTCCCAGAAGGATGGTGACATGAAGACACAACCAACCAAGCAAGCAGCCCCCTTGGGTGCAGGTATTACCCTGGAATGGTGTTTATCCCTTTACTCAAACTCAACTAAAATGAAAAACCACCACCAAGAAGGAAGGAGGGAAGCAAAGAAATGCCCTGAACAGGTTCTGATGAACTCGAACACAAACCCAACCAAACAAGGGGGAAGAGAAAAAGCAAAGAGATGCCTAAAGGATATAAATAAATAATATATTAAACAACCCTCCCCACCCTGTAATGAGAACGTAGCCCAGAGAATGGGATCGACGCTTGTTAACCGTTGTTAACTAGTATTTTTAGCCCTGACCTCTCTTAGGCTATGGGTAGCTCCTTTTTTTAATGCATTTTCTACACATTAATAAAAGATACTGAAGGAGGGAGCCTTGTGCCTGTTGGGGGGCAGGGTGGGAGTGGGATGTTGGCCCAGCCAAGCCCAGCAGCACCACAACACCAACTGGGGACA